TCTCTCTCTCTCTCTCTCTCTCTCTCTCTCTCTCTCTCTCTCTCTCTCTCTCTCTCTCTCTCTCTCTCTCAAGCAATCGTAGCCTTCGAGTTCCGACTGCCTTCCCGCGATCGTGTTCCAGTTAGCGGAGCGTTCGTCCTTCCTCGTCTTAAGGTTGCGTCTAATTCTTCTCTATCCCTCCCTCTCTCCTCTTCGCTATCCTCGTTCATGTTTCTCTTCGCGAGAAGGGATTCATCAACACCAGGACCTGCACCAGCCCCGTTCTGACGGATACCATCATTCCACGTGGCAAATGTCTCGCCAGCTGTATCGTTCTCCTCTACCGTGTACACGGCTTCCTTTACACCTTCCATCCCTCGATCGTCTCCAGCATTGTGGTTGCTCGTGTTGCCCCCGCCGATGCCATGGTCGTATTGAGATTGAGATTGAGATTGAGATTGAGATTGAGATTGAGATCGCGATCGCGATTGTCTATCCAGATGATGATTCAAGAGAACTTTCTTGGCACTTTCGAAAGCCCAAAATCCAATGGCGCCGAAACACGCGCTGTGTACAAGTCTCGGCTCTACTCCTGCCCATAAACCCCTCACCCCTTCATCCGTCCAGATCTGTTTCATTGTGGAGAAAAGACCAATCCGTACAACACCGGGATCGGATGCTGCTGCTCCTGCCGCTGATGTCATCGCCAGCCTGGCGTTGACACGTGTAATCATCCTCGTCTTGGAGACGTCTAGAGGCATCGTCAAACACACGGCCACACTTCCTGCGATCGCCCCCGCGACGGCCGTCTGCCATTGCTCCACGTCAGCCACGCCCCTCGTCCGTTGATTATAGGCAATCAAAGCACTCTTCAAGTACTCGAACGTGCTGAAGCGGATCATATTGCCCGGCAGATTACGGAGGAGAGTAGCCGAGTACCCCACGTAAAACCCCTTCCATCCTTCCGTCTGCAACGTTCTGAGGATGATGGCACGCATCCCGCCAGAAGCTCCCGCCTGCATTCGCTGCTTAATTACCTCTTTAGGCACGAAGATCGCCGATGAGGTGATGTTCCCCAATGCCGCCGACAGGGGGGGAACGAGAGAGGGCGTGGGGACCACCTTCCCCACCACGCCTTTGGCCAGCTCGTAGGCGCCAAAATAGACCGCGGAGGAGGGTATCGACCCCACCACCGCCGCCGGGAAACCGCTGTACAGCCCTCGGATGCCTTGCTTCTCCAGGACTTTTCGGATGACGTCAACGGGACCGGAATAGACGGCGCCCGATCCGCGACACTGGAGCTTCGTCTTCACAGTGTCGATGGGATGGAGGGTAGCGTGCGTGAGACCGCCGGCGAATCCCCCCGCAAGCGCGCCGATTCCCGCTCTCTGCAAGAGCGGGAGGCGTTTCATCAGCGCGCTGTAGTACGGGGATGCGCCACGTGGCGCCAAGGAGCCCATCATTAGCTGCTTCCGCGGCTCGGTGAGGACATGTCCCCACACCGCTTTGCGAGAGCCGTCCAGACAAGAATGCATGAACTGCCACGTCGACATCACTCCAATCCGGAGCAATTCCCGCCCATCAACGCTCTTCTTCCTCTCCCTCCCTCTACCTCCTCCCTCGCTAATCCTTCCCAATCCCCCTGCTGCTCCTAACGCATGCTCTTCTCCTCCTTGTCCTCCATCTACCCTCTTCCTCCTCCTCCACGTGGTCGTGCGATTTCCAACGCCATCGCCGTCATTCTTGGCCACCTCTACGACACCCCCGCTGTCGCTGCTGGTACTACACACCATGTCAATCATAGCCGACCCCTCCCTTATCGCTTCTCCGCTTCTCCTCCCCCTCCTCCCCCTCCCCCCCCTGCTCGTACTCCAACCGCTCCTACTCCCCCTCCGCCATTCTCCCTCACCTGAACCCACCGCCTGCAGTTTACACGGGCGGAAGGAAGACGTGGTCGCCGGCGGACTGCCCCGACAATCGGGATCCCATTCCTGACCGTCCATCCTCGTCATTACCCAGGATGACGGCGCGCACTTGAGTCTCTCGCCAATCTTGCCAGCGGCGGCGCTATTTGTCGCTGCGCTGCGCTCAGACACGCGTTGCTTATAGCTCGCCCATACAGAGACAACAGCGCCATCTCCGTCATCGCCGCCATCGCCGCCATCACGACCTCTCCTCCTGTCTCCGACACTCAAAACCACCTCCATCTCTCAAAGACTCTGACAAAAAGCAATCAACTTCTTACTTGTCTTCTGCCACCCATCGGTCGAGGACTCGAAGCCGCGTACCAATCCTCAACCATGGCCCTGGCCGCACCACTCACCTGGTGTGAAAAAAGCACCAGAACTGTGGCAGGGCATCTTTCCTTGTTCTAGCAGAAGATTCATTCTCATTTTGCAAATTTGGCGACGGATGCGCTGAGGCCCCATGTCCCCAGCCAACTCGAACTCGAAATCGTTGTCGTCATCTTCTTCTTCCTCCTCCTCGACCGTCCATCCAGTCCAGCACTCTTCACTCTAAACTCTTCCCGACAGGGGTTCAAACCATTTCTCGATTTATGCGTGTCATCGTTGCGCAGGGGCCATGCTAATCTTCTCTGTATTGTTCCAATTTTAACGGATGTCCCAAAGGAAACTGGGTTTCAAACCCACCTGCCCCAAAAAAAAAAAAAAAAAAAAAAAAAAAAAAGACAAGCCCACAAGCCCGGGGTTCAAACCCACAAGCCCGACTTCGCGCTCCCCTCAGTGCTCCTATTCCGCTCACTGGTGGCTCAAACTACCACCAAGCCCATAGAAACTGCTTGCTCACGTGCTAACGTGATTCGTTGGAGCATCCCATTTCACTACCGGCATCGCCGTTCATTCAGGGCCATGTCCTACGTGGTTCCTACGTGGTGTTGGTGTTTCTCTCCTCCTCCGCTCAGGGCCTCGCTTCCACTACTGCACATGCACAATAGACAAAACTTATGGCGGCGTATCTTTCCATGTTCTCGCAGAAGATTCGTTCTCATTTTGCACATTTGGTGAGTAGTGGAGCGAGGCCCTCAGACTCGTTCACGATTCTTCTGTCCAACCACGAAAACGAAGAAGAGCAAACCAATGGACGCCGGGCTCGAGTCGGGATACCGTGTGCGCAAGACCTTCCAATTATTACAAAAACAGAGGGCAGATACCGACCCCAAAAAATCTCGCGATCCACGGTCGAACAAAGGGACACAACCCGCCAACGGAATCTGGTCCCGCCTTAGGCCTGGACACCACTGGCCGGCGCCTGGAAAAAGTGGCCGGCCGCGAATTTCTGGCCAACTCGGGTGGAAAGCTTTTGGCACGATTCAGGGAGACTCCACCGCGAACTGGTGGCAGTGTTCTGGAAACGGGCCGGCTTGCCGATTTAGGAAAACTGCGGAAGGTCCCCTCCCAAAAAGGAAAGTAGGAATTCCGCGGACGAACCAGCGGACACGGCAGGGTCTCGGGTGGGGAATTGGTGTGTGGCATCGCACACCGTTTGCGGCACAGCGGGACCGACCTCCGTGCGGTCCCAGTAGGACGTCCCAGCAGGAGAGGGAACAGGAGGTACAACGGCACTATTTTTTTCAGCCGGGTGTTGGGCCCGTTAGCGCATTTGCGAAAACCGGGAGGACGAAGAGGGCAGATCGTCGTTGACATCCAGCCATCGTGTGGTTGTGTGTTGTGCCCGCGTAGCGAGCCGTTCGTGACCTGCCATCACTCACGGGTTGCCGATCTGTGGGGGAGAGCTTCGGGATGGAGGGACAGCGGGTGGCCATAGCCGATCGCGACTTTCTGCTGTGACGATTACCATGGATGCTTCGGGAGGCGGGTTGTATGGCGAAGAGTGCAAGGATACGATGTTGATGGTGGCGTTTTTTATCATCCAGTGGATGAACAGACGCAGTGCAGCCGCCATGGCGGTCGTGGAGGCTGTTTCGGTGATTCCATTCCTGTCCCAAAACGTCTCGGCTGCGGTTGCACTACTCGCGGGGGGGATGTTGCATGGTTTTGCTCTGGGGGCTTTGGCGGCTGAGGAGGTGGGAAGGAGATTGGACCGTCGACGCCGTCTGTGGGTGGTGGAGCGCAGTGGCGGTGTGTGGAAAGACCTCCGGCGAGTGGGGGTTGAGCACGATGAGGTGTTCACGCGATTTTGCAGACTTCCACGCCCTCTCTTCTTGGAAGTTCTGGATCGTATCAGCCCGCATATCCAACGGTCGCCCACGAATTTCAGATTGCCGATACCTGTCGGTTAGAAGTTCGCGTGCGCGCTGATCAGGTGGGCGACCGACGGTTATTACAGGCGGTCCTCCCATGGATTGGGCATGGGCCTGGCGAGTGCTTTGCCCAGCAATGTGGAAGTAGCCGACGCCATCATCGCAGAGTACGGACATCTTCTGTGATTCCCGACAGGACAACTATTGGAGGACGTACTTCACGGGTCCTGGTGGCTTTTCTGTTGTGGCGCAGGTCGTGTGCGACCACGAGTGTCGGATCGTCAGTGTTTATGTCGGATGTCCAGGCTCTATGCACGATTCCATAGCTCTACGTACGTTGCCACTGTTCGAGAATGCCACGGCGGGCAGAGGAGTGTTCGGCAGGGGAGGTGCGATACTGCACGACGGCAAATACATCGGTCGGTATTTGATAGGTGATCAAGGGTACGCACTCCTCCCGTGGCTGATGACACCGTTCGACCGCTTTGCTAAAACAGGGGCGGATCGGGCGTTCGATGAGAGTCACAGTGCAGCAAGGTCGTGCATGGAGCGGACATTCGGGCTTCTGAAAGCCGTGTGGAGGAACTTCATCCGACGACACATTTGCAACCTGGCGACCATCACGAAAGAGTTCATGGCCGTGTGTATTCTACACAACCTTATGATCGAGCGCAACGTCCAAATAGACCCGGCGTTGATGGGAGACAGCAGCGACAGTGAGGGGGGGGATGGTGGTGACGACAACCTTCAGCGACGACGGCGCCGTCGTCGATTCCACCGCCATTTTCCAAACTTGAACATTGAAGCCGTCCCTTGTGATGACCCCACCTATGGCGGTGACCTCGCGAAGCACATTAGGGATAGTTTGGTTGAACACGTGCGTCACCACGTTGCAGTCCACGACGCGCCGCCACCATGCCCGTGGCGGTAGTGCGGCCGTGTTCGAATCGAAACGTTGTGTGAGAGTAGGCGGTGATAGTGGGCAGCGTTTTGAAATGCGGGGGGGTTGCAAAGGGAGATCATCGGCAGTAGAAGAGTGGGTGGGGGTGTACGTCATCCATTACGTTTCCACACAAAACATTCGCAGGCATTCCCATGTGAGCACACAAAAACATGACACGGAAAACCTGATTGATGTCGGAGAATTGATACCGAGAAAACAGAAATGTTATTCCTCGCGTTTTTTCACAGACGTGACGCGGACAATTTGAATTAAAGTCAGTAAACTGGACGGCGTCCGCGCAGGCATTGATTGCTTCCTGCACAGGAAGGATTCACCCGCGTGGACGGCATCATCATCCTCATTATCATCACCATCATCATCGTCATCGTCATCATCATCATCATCATCATCATCATCATCATCATCATCAACATCATCATCATCATCATCATCATCATCATCATCATCGTCATCGTCATCGTCATCATCTTCGTCACCTATGTCACCATCGACTGTCTCCTGATGACAATCATCGTCGTCGCAATCGTCGTCTTCGTCGTCATCGTCGTCATCATCATCATCATCATCATCATCATCATCATCATCACCATCATCATCATCATCATCATCATCATCATCGTCATCGTATCTCCCCATGCAGATTCGGCCTGCCAACCAATGGGGGTTCCAGGATGCAACGCCAAAACGGCACCGGATCCAGGCGCTCCGCAAAAACGTCAGTCAGGGTGGAGACGTAGAGCTGGACGATCTCCCCTACAAGATCGACGGGATGGGCGAATCGTTCGTTGGGTATGACTTCACCGACCTTCCTGACGTGGATGAGAACATGCCCGAGGAGATTCCCGAAGAACCTGAGGCCGACCTCCATTTTCAGCGCCGGGATCCCATCAACATCCACGTCGTAGAAACGGAATGACCGCCGTGTGACGCCGTCCGCGAAGTCGAAGTGCCGAGCGTGGTAGCCATCCTGTTCATGGCACAATTCATAAACCATCACCCCCCTGCCGTCGATTATAACACGACAAAACGTGCGCACGTCCATCTCTCTATCTCTCTGTCTGTCTGTCTGTCT